GCCTTTTGATGTCGAATCACGTCGCCCCCGTCGGCCCCCGCCCACACCCCCGCGCCCGTCTCGTCTTTCCGCCACCATAGAATGGATTCACGCGACGAGCGAGCGCTCGTCACCTATGTGGCACATATTACATTCGCCCGCCCGCCCTCTTGTTCCTGCAACTTCAAATTACCGGGCGAATCTTGTATCGGTGTCTTCAAACGAGAACCCCGGCTTCTACATATAGCATATCGAGCCACGCCGGAAAAATCGCGCGGATCTTTTTAACTGAGATGTGACTATGTAGTTGCTTTGAACCGATTCCTTTTAATCCGCGGGCGTATTTACGCAAGTGGGTCACACCGTGTCTTTGTAAGTGGTAGTCGTTGCACTTTGATCCTGCTGTGTTTCATGTATTAGTTTGCGATTTCTGGCTCACTGCTGATGAAGTTTGTGGTTTTAATTGCATTACATTGGTCAGATGTTTTTTGCTATTTGGTTCTAGAATTTGAAGAATATTTGCAATTTATTTATTTAGGATTTATTGAGGTATTTATTGTTCTATGCTGGGCGATTTTTTGTTATTTTGAAGGATAACTCGTTTTAAAGATGAAGTTTGCACTATTAAACAATGATAAGTAACATTTTTTTATATATTATATATTTTATTTAACAAATAATGCAAATGTTTCCGTTTCAATATTATATACAATATGTACGATTACTTGATGTTTACTTGCATTACATATTGACATAAACCCAGAATAAATATGTTGATTTTAATTGATTGAAGGTTTCCTATTATTCTCGTTAGTATTTCCATCGACGCTCGACCATCGAGTAGTCTTGAAAAATATTTTCTAGTGTCGCGCTTTTCATGCATACCAACGGCACCACGCGAAATTAGTCTCATTTTGCATTCTCGCGAGCGTCACGGGAGACTTTTAATAAGGACGGTTTAATGTTTTTACGTTGGCACATTCACGGGCGCATAAAGTGACCTTTTTCTTTGCATCCGGACGCTGTGTTTAAAGAGATACTCCTGCCAGTATTTTTCTACTTTGCACGTCAGCCACCTTTCGTGCCTGCCATTGTGCCCGAACAAACAAAATGAGCAACGAGTTCTCTAGGAACTCTTAAAAAAGGACGGGAAACCTATTCGTCATGAATACGTAGTTAAAAGCCAAATAACATTGCGGGGTCTTAGTGTAACTCGTCAAAATATAAACCATCCACGCTGAACAACGTATGAAAACGTGAGGTAAACATTCAATCGAATTAATCCCTTGCCTTATAATATATTTCACAACAATTACTCCTTTAATCTGAAGAATACTTGGATATTTATTAGAATGACAAAAAATTAGTTAAAGATATTATACTTCACTTTTCATTGGAAACGATGCTTAACGTCAAACACATATTTACTCCGGTCAGCCATTTATCGCAAAAATAAAATATTCATAATTAAAAACTAAATAACATTTCCCTCTACATCAACAGAATATTCCTATACACTAAACTCAATACAGAATCTTCAGTAGGATTTTTCCCCACAGAATCCAATTACAAAACAAAGGATTAACTTCAAGGGTTCAGCGCTAAATCGCGCTCACCCTGAGCAGCCACCGGCATCGCGCAATATTTTCGAACCGTACCCAACAAAAGCCGGTGGAACCAACAATGCGCAGAAAGTAAATGATTACAACCTCCCGTAAAACCTACTAATCATCGGCGTGTAAGCCGAGGCAGCGTAGCCCGATGAAACGCCATAAATCACGAAGTCATTGTGTCTGAGAAGTTTTCATAGCTGGTCGGCCGGCCACCCCACCACCCACGACCAACGTTGTTCAGACTATCTTTTCTCCGTAGCCGGCGCTCTCCTCGTCTCATTCTCATTACGAAGTTCCCGGTCATCAAATTTTATTAGTCCCGCTTCAAGGGTTCGCCTTACTTCTAACTCAATATCGTAGATTTGTAGTCTCGGTTTAACTACCCTCTCGCCCGCCTCCTGTCCCGCCGACCAGGCGTTCTTTCCCTCTTTTCCGCTCATACGGGTCTGTACACGGTTTCTTCTCGCTCCATCCCCACCCCCGTCCCCGCCCCTTCTTTTCTTTGTATTTTCTCCTCGACCTGGAACCCCAGATGTAAGCGCGCGCTGCGAGCCCGAGCTCGAGCGACTTTGAAAGCAGCAATAATTCCGTGCTCTACGGCCGAGAACTAATTTCCACCAGGTCTGAGGCCGGTCGAGAGATCGGCGGAGGGTCGCTGCAGGCTCCCAGGAACAGAGGGAGGGCAAACCCGTAAGACGAAGAACGCTAGAACCTTCCTTTTCTCGTCTGTCCGCCTTTTTCCTTTCTGTACAGCTCCAACCCCCGTCGAATCCTGCTCGATTCCTCGCGAGCAGTTCCTTCATTTTCTCTCGCGCCCCTTTATCGGCCGACAATGGCCAACCACCCCGACCACCCCCGTAGTCGCTGTCGGCTGCGCTCGCAGCCAATAAAGAACTGTGGCATCCCGTAGTCTTACCACTAGAGGGCTACTGCCTATTAACCATTCCTGATAATACTATCAGTTATTTTTATTATTTGTGTAATCCTCATGGTGTTGAACAACGATGAATGATCAGATGACCAATTAACACTCTGACTGGTAAGTGAACACTCGTCGAAATTCATACGCAGTCGAAACAGTTTGCTTAATGAAGCAGAAAGTGAGGAGTTAAAATTCTTCATAGCGATTGCTTCACTGTTTTCTTAGATCTAATTTATTTAATAAAACTTGGTTCGTTCGATATGGCATCAAGAAAATTAATGCTGAAGTTTATGTAAAAGGCGGTGGGAGAAAATTCATTCTAACTTTGAAAAATAGAATTGATGAATACTTTGAAAAGTAGAAGTGTCCTACTCATTGCAAATTGTCATTAAAGTTCCCATCAGCGAGTAGAGGATGGCGATATTCAGAGTCCTTTCCTGTTAGTTATCAATTTAAATAAATATTATGTTATAAATAATTTGTGTCCATTAAATTCCAATGCCTCTAATGGTTGTACGCTGCACAAACGTAACCGCTGTTCACTCCGGCCATACATATGCACCGCAAACAATTATTCCGCATAATTATCAAGAATGTAATAATACAGTATCTTCTGTAAACTAATTGTTGATATAAGGGACCATTATTAATGCAGCAGAAACAGTTGTATTAGTCAGCCATCGTTTACAGTGGTACACAGCGGCGAGTGTTGGCAACAGTGGATTTGGTTAGCACATAATCAGCCAACTGTCGCAGTAGTCAGACTTTGTTGAAACTCGGGAAACAGTGGAGAATATTATTAAGTATCAAGTATTAGATAGTAGAATAGTGTGTAAATATAAGATTACTATACAAAACATCACTTAAATATGATAACATTATTAAGATGATTCGTTGAAATTGTCATAAGAAAGTTTCATTAAAATACACGGTTAATCACGATTTAAAACCTGTTAATGATCCATATGCATTACCACCAAGATAAAATGTCTCCGTTAGAATATCAAAATATTTAAGACGACGTCTAAGAAAAAATAACGAATCATTAAATAAATTAAAATATTGTATATATATTTTTTTTATAAAATATTCTCGAACCACAAACTTTGATCTTGTAAAATTATACTTCAAAATATCTCCATACGTATAAAGTGAAGAAGAAAGAACAATACCTAATCAATAAATATTAATAATAATAAATCGTAACTAATAAACAATAGTTAATATCAATATTTAATAACTCCGATATCAAAACATAAGAATTTCACAACCTGTTGCATTAACAAAACATTGTTTCTTAGTATTCGGTAGGAAACCTTGGCCTTCTAATAATTATCCGTTGCAACAGGATCAATCCGAGAGAAGAATCGGCAACGAAGTTATTAATGAATTATCCGTAATAACGGTAATCTTAGGTCCCATGACCGCAGGAACAAGCGTAATTCCTAGAATCCTGTTATCGAGTCAGCCCCACCGGGGCGCACGACAAATTGAAGACTACGAATGGCGTATAAAAATTAATAAGGGCGCAGTTAAAGGATGCGTAACGTGCTTGACGATCGGCGAAGATCCGAGTAATCCTCTTACGCTGCTGGATCCTTCAGATCCAGCGTTGACCGACTCATCCGGCCGACTGTAAGCCTTTAAACCTATCTCAGATGAAACCAATATCGGACCAATTTCGAGAAAACGGTGCCACGATATATCGAGTGACGCGAGCCAAGCTTTCGGATCAAATTGCCTCGACGGATTTCGCACTGGCGCTTGGGGCTAGGACAATCCCGATTGTCCATTTCTTAATATTCAGCAATTACAGATAGACTGCGGATTTTGTACGTTCACCGCCCACATGATTGCTTAAAGTTTATTATCCTAAATGATTTAAGAAAACGTGAATAAATTTCTATTTTGTTTTGAGTTGGATATTTAATATTTGAAAATATTTAATATTTCGGTGACGGTATCGGTATGTTACCGACATTAAAATTTTACTTGAACGAAACATGCCTTAAATAATGAAACGATACGATAAAAAAGACGAAAAATTAAGACAATACAAATTCCACAGAAACCATAAACACTTAACAAATTTTTATTTTTCATTTTCCTATTGTTTCAGTAAAATTACCGTTTTAAAAAGATAAACTTCTCGAATTATCTTATTAACCCCTTGACCTACAATATCTTGTCAGGTTCGTAACGATAATTTTAAACCGCATTTGAGAAATTGAAGTGTTCCTTTTTTTTTAAATATAAATTAAATATTACTCTTCTATTACTAATCGTTAATCTTTAGAGTGAACGTAGACATAGAATAAACATCAATATTTTTTCTTTTCCCAATAAATTACAAAGGGTATAGTAGTTGTATCGATCAGAGTTAAGAAATAAATCATAGGGAAAGAGGTTAAATTAATGACTAACGATTCAATTGTAACACAGACCATGCCATTTCACTGAGGCAGAAAGAAAGATGGCGAACTCACCTTTTGTTGTTGCGCCTGCGTAGGTTCCGTGGCGAGCAATTGCTTCAAGGCCGGATGTCCATGGCCATTCGACGTTGACGTCGCACCTGGTGTGCTAGGTGTACTAGGATTGCTACCCGGTGTGTTAGGAGTATGAGGACCAGTGGTCGGACTGCTAGGACTCACGCTCTCGATCACCTTGCTACCGGCATGGTGATTTTCCGTGTGCCTCCTCAGACTCCTCGCGTCGCAATACGATTTGCCACATCCTTCCGCTTTGCACTCGTACGGCTTCTTGTTTCGATGGGTCAACATGTGTCCGTTCCTGTTACAGAAATTTCAGAAAATGTCGATTAACATATTAAACGTCGATAGAAAATTCTTAAAAAAGTTTCTGGGGCCAGAAGAAGAATCTGTTTGTCTATTTCAATTACAATTAACGTAAATATTGGTAAGAAATCAATAATTACGTTTTATCTTTATTTTTTTATATTTTTAACTTTATATTTAAACATACGAAAGTTCAATCTTCGTCTGTTCCTTTTATACTATATTCACCATGAAAAATATTAACTATTCAAAACTACCAAACAGTACTGTAGATGTTTATATAAATGTACAGTGTTCTAAACAGATTTAGAGAAACTGTAATGAAACAAAATTGAACTTTCTCAGTCAACAGTATCAATAAATTGAAAATAAAATAACAGTCTATTAAATTTGATTACAATTTCTAGCCTCGAATTTCGTAATTCTTTACAAAATCCCATAGATAAATTAGAAAATAAATACCTATTTCCTACCAATTATTAACACAATATTTAATCGCATTATCAACACCTTCCTCCTCGTATTCACATAAAAACCAATCTTTTACACTAAAAATACCAGACGGGTCAAAGTGACCCATTCCTGATGTCTTCTTCTTGCAATTATTAAATAGATAACAGATGTTTCTCTGATAAATTATTAAAGAAATTGATTTACTGCATTGTAAATCAATTACAGTTTGAACAGATGCACCCTTGGAGTTGCTATAGAGAAATTTCAGAATCTCAATTTAACTATTCGGTAGTTTTGTTGTTAACTAACATTCGAAATCAAAGTACCCATTCGCCAAACAATCTCAAACTACAGAAACCTATACCTTATCCATTTCATTTTCCACGTTACACCGAGGAGCTGTCAAATCCGGTGTCTCAAAAAAGAATTTCCAAACTTGCGCAAGATCGCGGAAAACGAGGAGCCGTCACGTCGCCTAGATCGAACGTAGAAAATTATGTCGACCCAATTACGTCGGTATCTATACTGGAGGATCTAGTCGGCTCCGGAAATCCCGTACAACGACGAGCACGTTCCACGTTCTATCTGTGAGGCACATCTAAGCTTATCCCCAGCGTGACAGCCTTACGGACGTTTTCTCGCCTAAAGACTTCTCTCTTCACCCCATTTGTCCGATATCCGGTGTAATGCCATTGGCGCGGGGCGAAATGTACACTTAATGTGGCCGTGGACCGGCGCTCGCGTGTCCCCGGGTAAATGATACCCGGTCGAAAGCGGGAAAGTTGATGTTGCCTGGCGTTCGTGGCGCAAAAAAAAGGCGGAGGCAAAAAAAAAGGAAAAATTGAGGGACGTGCAACAAGTTGGCGCATGAATTTCCGACGGTCTGGCTCGTTGTAACGAGAGGGAGAGAGAGAGGAAGTGGATCATAAACGAGGAAAATTCGTGAGGAGAATTTCGATTTCGCAGGGAGTTGTCGCGTTTAGCTCGCGGGAGTGGTATTTCGCCAACCGATGATGAATTTAAGATGAACGCCGGGCTTGCAGCGGAATGGAGCGCGTTATGGAAATGAGACGGGAGGTAATAGTTGTGATTTAATTGAGAGGAATTTGACACGCTGAGTTCGACGTTCGAGATGTTCGTTTGACGATAAGTTTGTTGAATAGAAAGTGCAGGAGGTTGGTTGAGGTTTGTTTGTAGGAAAGGAATTAGGGGTGTTGATGGAAAGATTTAAACATTCGAAGAGATTAGGAAAAATTTAGAAAGATTGAAAATGATTCGAAAATTGATTAACTAGTACTACCCGTGATGAAATATGAAAATTAGACTGGCAATAATATTATAATGTTAATTCGTTCTTGTCGTGCATGTACTAACATAATCGTCTGATAACATCACGTTGATGTTATTTTAAATTTATATTTGATTTTACTTTTTTTAAAAGTAATTCGTGAAGCATACGGAGTCTCCCAGGGGACGACA